TAAGCAGTTTGTTACCCACGTATCTTATCTTATAGTTAAGCTGTTTGTTACCCACGTATCTTATCTTATAGTTAAGCAGTTTGTTACCCGCGTATCTTATCTTATACTTAAGCAGTTTGTTACCCACGTATCTTATCAAGAAACGAATGGGCAACAAATACAAGGATAACAAACTGCTTAACTATAAGAAAAGATACGCGGGTAACAAACTGCTTAACTATAAGATAAGATACGTGGATAACAAACTGCTTAACTATAAGATAAGATACGCGGGTAACAAACTGCTTAACTATAAGAAAAGATACGCGGGTAACAAACTGCAGCTGTGTTTTTTACCCTTGTGTTTGTTACTATTGCGTTTTTTTACCTATTTGTTTATTTTTGAGAATAATCTGGTAATTCTACAAGAAAATGTTATTCTAGAGATAAATGTGATTATTTAAACCAAAGCCCAAACTTACACCGGTAATAAACAGTTGAGCCATGACCCAAACTCGCTAGACATTCACCGGTAATTAGCAGTTAAGCCATGACCCAGACTTAAAACTGGTAAATAATAGTTATTCTGATTATCTTTACAGCACTTATTATCTCCTCTGATTTGTTCTTGGTTATCTTTCCAGGATTTGATATCATCTTTAGTTTGTTCCTGGTTATCTTTCCAGTATCTATTATCCCTTTTTGTTTTTTCCTGGTTATCTTTCCAGTAGCTGTTATCTCCTTCTGTTTGTTCCTTATTTTTCCAAGACTTGTTGTTCCTGACAGAAAGCTGAATGACCGAAATTAAAACATGCAGCTGTTTGCTCATGCATTCTGGAAGTTACAGCGACAACCGCTATGATTGAAGATACAGTACGACTTAAACCCTGCCAGGTGGCCGTGATCACGTGATCAGTATTGTGCCCACGTCCGAGTCTTGTAATCCAGTAGACGTGCCAGCCGTTCCAGAGATTTCTGTCGCCCCAGGGAAGACGCCTCGGAGGACAGCGAACACTCGCATTCCTCAACCGAAGGCTCCCTGACCATATGGCGCACGTTCCCACGTTCCGAGTCGGCTGTCCTAACTTCTTGGTCGGCGACTCTGTGGGAATCACTGCCTCGTGGTCCGGCAGGAGACATCTGGCATATTATTCTAATCATAGGTGGAAGAAGCATCTCGGTTCTACCACACACTCACGTGCTTGCTACTGCACTGTGAGAACGGCTGGATAATACATGACGTACAGCAAAGGAACGAACGAGTTCCCTTCACCCTCCCCCTCATCCCCTTTCTGCAACACACCTGGATAATCTTTCATACGTGAATGATTTCAATAAGAAGGTAACGCCCAGATTTTAATTTGCTTGGATTTTCTCACGAAGAAATGCACAATAAATTCGACTCGCAAGACTTTTTCTTTTAGCAAGGTGACATTGAGTCGAAAGCCAAACAAATGAAACTGAAAATGTAGTTTCCAAAGCTGAGAATGATTGCGAATATAAGTGAGATAGTGGTTGTACCCAGAATTCACTCTGAGAGTGCGTATCTATAATACTTGATGGGGTTGACTCACTGGTAAGTTTCGTTTTGGAACGAGTGACTTTTTGACTGAAAAACTAAAATAAAAGACAGTTGTCAGTAGAGGGGGGGGGGGACTAGTGACTCCATTTCTTGCAGTTCCGTGCTTTCCAACTCCAAATTAACACATTTCCAGATCCAGGGCTGGTGTGAGCAATACGACAAAGTGACGAAAGAGTCTGTTTGTAGTTAAGCGCAAAGCTACACAAAGCACAATCTGTACTGTGCCCAACACGGATATCGACACCCGGGTTTTAGAGTTATAAGCCTCGAGAATTGCCTCTGAGCCACGACGGGTAGGGGGGGGGGCATTCTGACGTCTGAAATGCCTAATAAAACCTTGGCATGACGAAAAACTTAACCTAAAAGTTAATGTTTCTTCGGTTACAAGTATCACTAAGCCTTATTTGATAGCTCTATTATAGCACACAATAGTAAAAATTACTATTACTGCACAACAGTAAACAATTAGTTATTAATGTAAACAGTGATACAATAAAAATGTATCGCGTCAAATGTTTTTATAGTAATGAAATTTATCTAGAGTACGAACACAAAGATTTCAGTGAACGCATTTTTATTTTTTGTTGTGATTACTGATCTGCCTGTTTAATAGCACTGGTTTGTTGTGATTACTGATCTGCCTGTTTAATAGCACTGGTTTGTTGAAGAAAGAAGTCTAAAGTTTATTCCAATCTCAGCTGTGTTGATTTAACAGCCAGAGTTTGGAGAAAGAGATTTCACTTTCGGTTAACGGAATTTATTAACAGAAACTAAACAGTTCGTTAAAGTACAAGCTCAGATTAAAAGATAAAATATTCAGATTAATTCTAGCACCTGGCACCAGTCGGCCTTAAACTCCTAGTGATGAAGCAATAGTTCGTATAAAATCCGCTAAAACGTCCAAGAAATACAAAAAAAAAAAAAATTAGTTCTACTAAATACTTTAAAAGATCTCAATTGATAAAGACAGTTTGGTAATCAAGATAAGTAAGTCGCTGGTTTTAGTTTTGTTTTGTCAAATCTAGATTATCGTGACTCATTGTCCCGGCTGTCCTTGTATGTTCAAGGTTCGATTGTCGTCTACATTAACGACTTTTACAAAATGTCACTGACCATTGTTCTTTCCAAATGATAGAATAACTAGGGGTACTGTAAAAACCACGTAAACATGATTAGTTTTTGTTTTGAAGCAACTAATGCTGAATACGTCAGAGTTTCTACAATTTTAAACATGTCTTGTATAGCATTAATAAAAAGTACGCGACACTTTCGTTTCATTTTGAGCACAATGGGTTATCTCTGCTGTGTCCACCACATGGATGACACTCTGAATGATAGTGTTATAAGCTTTTACCGCAGAGCCATCAAATTGTTGTGCCGACATAACTTTAAGATTACTAGTATTTTCAAGTGAATATTTTAACATTCATATATAGACTCGATCCAGATAGTTAGCCAAAGCTATACAAGGCTTATTTGCGTTAACATTCACTAGCCTTGAACAGATAACACTAGATGGGAAGAAACACCCACCACCAAATCTTGGGCTACTGTGATCAAATTGAGGGATTTGAGCGTATTTCTTGTGACACATCTACGTCTTCAGACTGCGGATTCTGTGGCAACGAGACGAGAATCACTGGACCTTTGGATTCACACTAATCAAAAGTCCGGTCCAGACAGATAATTCTAAAATGTAGTTAACGTAGCACTGAACTTTAAAACTTGGTAAATTTACACACTGAGGAAACTGTTAAACACTTGTTATAACCTTCAAGTTGAGCACAAAACAAATGTATGATATCGTAATCTCTAAAAGTACACTTTCAGTCATGTATGTCATATGTGTAATTAATGTGGCAGGGATAAAGAAATACATACCATAAACTGTTTTAACACCACAGCTTTACATAGGAATGATAAAAACGTGAAAATTGATACACATGCTCTTTGTGAACATCCTCATATCTTGAGATAAAAATTGTGAACATTTTCTGCAACGTTAATGAGCTATGGGCAATTAATTTTAATCCCTTCATTAGTGGTAATTAGACTCATGACAAGACAATTGGTAAAGATTTTTGAATTTTAAAAGTGTGCTACATATTATGCTGATATTGGCTTTGATGGCGAAGTGGAAACGGAATGAAAGCAAACAAAACTTTGTTTTTAATCACTTACTACAGATTAATTGGTAAATATTTTAATGAAAAAAATAATTTATTTATGTAGAAAAAGACGTTAAACTTTCGATTTAGGCTAAATTTGGAAAAAAAAATGTGATTTTTGAAATGTTGGGGGCGCTCTTTTAAGGGTCAGTGCTACCTTAAGGACTTTTTTTACATGAACTTAGCCTATTTTACAAAAAATAAAGAAAGAAAAAAGAAAACAAAAGTCCCTCTGTTTGTAGCTCATGCAAAAACTTTGTTATTACATTGTTGGCAACGTATGACGATACTGTTTATATTAACCGGGAAGTCTCGGATGTCAAAAAAGCCGTTGATTTCTTACCATTTTTTGATGAGACGTTGTCGTCTCTTTCTCCGCTATTATTTCACAATTAAACTATTCCACTATGAAAAAGAATACGTTCTATAACCGCTGTGACAGTTCGGAACAGATGTGCCAGTCACATTCTGTTGCTGAACACGGTGTTAGTGGCAGAGTCATACACACATTCAGCAACCACATGTCAACTGTGAGGCTGATAACAAACACTCGACAGTAGGGAGTTGTATCTTGGTTGGCCTTCCATCTTGTAAGCCACACCCACTTTCCATTGAAAACCCACCATGCTAATTTTAAGCTGTCACCCACCGGGTGGATGGACTCGTCTATGACTAAAGATTGTCACCCACCGGGCGGATGGACTCGTCTATTGTGTTTCCCTCTGATGAATGCTATTTATTCTCAAACAATCTGAAAATTGCTACTTACAGTGCCGACCACCTGAAGTTTTAAGACAAAAGTATAACTTTAAAATGAATAACCATATAAAAAGGTACCGATATATATGGTAAAGATTCGATAGATACAAAAAGTAATCTTACTGTATTAATACTTCCATCTATAGTTTTGTTTTAATACGAGTTTCTCACTTCAACACACGACGAAAACAAACCCGACCGACATTTTTACTTGTAACGTTTGAGGGAGTTTGGTTTAACAAAAGCCACTACAAGTATTAAACAAAATCTTACATCCTTTAATTGATTTACAAAATGTTGCTACGTGTTTAAACGTGTTCATTCAAAAATTCCCTGAAATTAACATAGTTTTAATGAAAGCTTCGATCTGCTGCAGGTGGCTTTACTGCTGTTACAAAACGCACAAACAAATGCTATGTAAGTGTTAAAAACAAAAACAAAAAGTTGACCATTATTGTTGGTGTTAATGTAAGTTTTCTAGTACACAAAGATAAAGATAGATGGCAGAACGGTGACATGAAAAAGGACTTGGATAACCTTTTATTGATAACCGATAAATCGAATCTCTTGATGAGAGACCTACATGAGTCTAAGTAGTATGTTACATAGTTACATATAATTATCTCTGTAAGCGATGATAAGTATAATAATTAGCGTTAATATCACCCGACTACCAAGTTACTGTAGCTTCGTTCTGCATCACAAACCACACACACGTACATACAACCACGTCTAGACCACAGTATACACCGTTTGTACAAAAACTTCTTTCTATCTATCTATCTATCTATATATATATATATAATTCATATAGACGCATCTATATTTATGTTTTGTACGCATAATTGCACGTTCCTCTTGTCGCTTCCACGAGCGAATAGATACAGTTGAAGAACCAAGTCAAAGTTTCACATGTGCTATAGCCGCAATACGTCTGGATTAATACAGAAGCCATTGTTCAGGAGATTAGTCACGTGACCACTAGCGTGACGTGTTTCCTTATTAGTGCCTTGAACGTTCAGATCACAGTCTATGAGATCTTCGTTTGAAAGACCGAGTAGCAGACACTGTCACTCTTCAGATCAGCAAAGAGCCAACTGAAAAAATAAAAAAAATAAAAAATCAGTATGCACGAGATCTACTAGCGTGCGAATTATTCACATGAATTTAATACCCAAACTAAGGTACAGCTAAAGGTTAAAATAAAGTTATTGTCTTGTTAACGTGGCGAACAAGACAGTTTAAGATGCTTAGTGACTTACCCATTAAAGAAATCAGTCTTCTTCCCAAGTGATCCAGTTTAGCCAGAGAAGAAAAAAAAGTGACCAACATTGGAAAAAGAAAGAAGATGGAAGCGACGAACCTGGCCAGCCATTTTGTTCTCTTAACTCTGATCCTGCGGAAGGCGAAATACATAGTTCAGTATCCAGTACTCTTATCTTGATTTTATTTGTTTGTTTGTTGTAAATCACAAAGCTACGTAATGGGCTTTTTGTGCTGTGACCCACCGCGGTATCGAAACCCAATTTTTAGCGTTATAAGCTCTCAGATTTATCACTGAGCAACACCTTACTAGAACATGTAGTTGTAAAAACCCGGCCAAACTTGAGCTCTTTTCTAAAGAAAAGTAATGTGTTTAATTATTAGTTTACCATATTCACACAAAACAATATTGTGCTTAATTACTAGTTTACCATATTCACACAAAACAATATTGTGCTTAATTACTAATTTACTATATTCACACAAAACAAAATTGTGCTTAATTACTAATTTACTATATTCACACAAAACAATATTGTGCTTAATTACTAGTTTACCACATTCACACAAAACAATATTGTGCTTAATTAGTAGTTTACCACATTCACACAAAACAATATTGTGCGTAATTACTAGTTTACCACATTAACACAAAACAATATTGTGTTTAATTACTAGTTTACCAGATTCACACAAAACGATATTGTGTTTAATTACTCGTTTACTATATTCACACAAAACAATATTGTGTTTAATTACTCGTTTGCTATATTCACACAAAACAATATTGTGTTTAATTACTAATTTACTATATTCACACAAAACAATATTGTGTTTAATTACTAATTTACTATATTCATACAAACAATATTGTGTTTAATTACTAATTTACTATATTCATACAAACAATATTGTGCTAAGGCTATAAGTGTTCATTTTTCTTGAAGCAAAACAGCCTTCAAACATTTTATTTCCATTTTTATCGTGAAACTGAACCATTCCTCTCTTAATCATTTTTAAACGCTCTTACAAACGCTAAAATCCGGGGTTCCATTCCTCGTGGTAGACAGAGTGCACTTAGCCCATTGTGTAGCTCTGCACTAAGAAAACAAATAACGTAAGAAACTATATAAGTATTATGATGGAAGAAGAGGAAAATATTTATAAACAATCACATTAAGACTTTACTAGATGCCACAATAGAAAAAAAATCCTCAAAGAACTGGTTTAAGGAATAGAAAACACTTACTTAAAGACTAGCGCTCAAAGACTGCAATTTTTTCCCTTTCCGAAGTAAATACGATGGTACAAGTCTTGTTCTTTCACAAACATTTCCAGACAAGCTTGCAGGATGTCCGGTAGAGGGAGTGTTAGAGTTTAACATAAGATTATGTACAAGTTCTTGAATTTGGGAATGATCAAAACTGTTTATATCGATGTTCATGCCTAAAAAGAAAAGAAAAAAGAAATTGTAATGAACACACCGAGTCTCGAATAACAATAGTCAACGACATCTGCCTATAAATAACGAAAATGTTACAAGTATTTGAAACTTTTTTTTTGTCAGCTTGTACATACAAAAAGTTCTTGTTAAGACACACTAAACGGTAGTAAAAGAAATGTCACGCTGGACATAATCAATTACAGCCTTTTAACAGGAAGTCACGTGCCGTGTGTAATTTTCAATGATAACGCACGTGACTGGAATTGATGATAAAAATAATCTTGGCGCTTTCGTAGAACATGATTTCAGATCCGACCCATCCAGTTCTAGTTTCTCATGCCAGGCCAACAGAGGACACGAACATAACTAATATTTCAGAAGGGTCAAACGGGAGTTGGTCGGTCATTTTCAAGGGCTGACTTTTGTCATCTCACTTCGAAGCATCTGCATCTCTTATAACAAGCACGTGTCAGCAAGCGAGTTACTGTGTGATGTCGCAGCTGACTGTTGGACCCGAGGGTGGGGGTTCGGGTTTTGAACTAAAGGCTTTCCCACGGGAATGGCTAAATCTTCACCGCAAGCTGCTACTGCCAGACTGATAGCCTGTTAAAGATGTATGGACAGCCGTTAGAATAATGAAGGTGTTGTTCTGTTAGATTCTGGCTCCGATCATCTGTCCCGTATTTAACAGTCTGTATATATTTTATAAATATGTTAAGAAGACGAAAACTCAATCCAGAATAGCGTCAATTAACACTTACAGAGATAACGTAGTTCTTTACGATCAGCTGATGGAAAAAATGGAAGGAGAATAAAAATGCTTTTGTTCTGCTCCGTCTACTAAGTTCAAATAAAAAAAAGTTTGGGCCGTGTTAACATGAAGTTAACGGCTCTCTTTTTCAAGACCTCTTTTTTATACGAATGACTCGTAATGTGATACGGAAGTCATGAACAATTGCCATTAGGAAGGGAATCTAAAAGCTCTATCATATATCTACTTCACGCCTTCCAATTATACACTACCGCCTTGATAACCATCTTTCGCGACGCAACCAATTAATGTCTGTTGCTATGCCTACCAAACATGCCCTTTTACAACTATCCTTTAAGGCGCAACTAATTAATGTCCGTTGTTATGTCTACCAAACATGCCTTAATGCTTTGATGTCAGCAAAATTTCAGGGCATTTAATAGTACTTAGTCAAATACAGTTGCAACCAGCCTGCATTTAAAAGTTACGTGATACGTGCTGGCGGAATTTATAATGATTAGTAACTTATCCGTTAAAGCAAACACGATAAAATTTTAACAGTCTAGACTAGTGAAAAATTATTATTTTATCTTCCAGTTGAAAGGAACAAAGACATTTGATTGAAATGTATCAAGAAAGAAATTACCTTGAAGGCATAAAGGTAGACCCCGTGTTCTTAATCTCGTCAGAAGAGCGTTGTGCAAGTGGTCAATATATCGAATGGCCTCTTCTATTACAGTAACCTGAATAATAACAACGATAAACTAAGTACAGTGAGAACTGTACGTGTAACATTTCTACGATATTACTACATTCACATATATTTCTGCCTTATAGGTTATGCCACACAGATACCAATAGAATGTAATACTTTATCAAAACCAAGCAACTTAGCCAAGAATGCGACTAAAAAATAATCCTTTCCTCTAATACTGTTCTGTCTTATCGTTTATTTACGTGACTCACGTATCATTACAAAACTTCTTCCAACCAACGGATCTATATATTTTATCTTGTCACAACTGGAGTTATGAAAGTTATTTTCAGTAGGCTAGTAAAAAAATATTAATAATAATAAAAGGAAAAGAAAGATCCACCTGGAAATTTTTATAGTAAATGTTCTAACTGGAAATTTCTGTAGTGTATCACTCAATATTCATCCAACCGCCCAATCTTTATTTACAGTGCTAGGGGCGCTTTCCAGAAATCTTTTGAAGTCAATAATTATAAGGATTACAGTGTATGTACTAACTGACCTTGGGGACGTGAGCTTTCTTGGCAATGCTGGGGACCATGGACCTAAGTCTGCGATATTCGTGGCTTTTCTGCAACTTTAAATGAACTCGCCTCTCCTGTTTCAGAATCTTCTTTTTCACCAGTTCTCTGTAAGTCCTGGTGGCCTTGGAGGTCCTCCGGCGGTTGGACAAAAAAAGTTGCTTCTCATCAGGAACTGGATTTGACGGAATGTTCATCTTCTGATAACAGAAGAAAAAAAAATCGAACTTTAACATTATGATTTTACAGGTTGCTCGACGCTCTGTTTGTAAGATAACTGTGATATATACATTATGATTTTACCAGTTGCTAGACGCTCTGTTTGTAAGATAACTGTGATATATACATTATGATTTTACCAGTTGCTAGGCGCTCTATTTGGAAGATAACTGTGATATATACATCATGATTTTACCAATTGCTAGACGCTCTGTTTGTAAGATAACTGTGATATATACATTATGATTTTACCAATTGCTAGACGCTCTGTTTGGAAGATAACTGTGATATATACATTATGATTTTACCAGTTGCTAGGCACTCTGTTTGGAAGATAACTGTGATATATACATTATGATTTTACCAGTTGCTGTGCGCTCTGTTTGGAAGATAACTGTGATATATACATTATGATTTTACCAGTTGCTAGGCGCTCTGTTTGGAAGATAACTGTGACATATACATTATGATTTTACCAGTTGCTGGGCGCTCTGTTTGGAAGATAACTGTGACATATACATTATGATTTTACCAGTTGCTGGGCGCTCTGTTTGGAAGATAACTGTGATATATACATTATGATTTTATCAGTTGCTAGGCGCTCTGTTTGGAAGATAACTGTGATATATACATTATGATTTTACCAGTTGCTAGGCGCTCTGTTTGGAAGACGAACTACGAATCTACTTTACTTAATTTTTTTAAGCCATTTATCATAGATAGAAGATCTTTCATCATTATTTAGAAGAGTAAACAAAGATAATTCATAGATGAATAGAATAATAGTTTCAATTTGAGAACCTTAGAGGAAAAGGAAGAATACTTGGCTAGACATAACTTGAGTTACTGTTGCCCAGCCGCGGTATAACCCTAAATAAGGATGGTCTACTTTACGAAAGCGTTCGTAACTTCGAGTTTCGGGGTTTCTGGTTTTGTTATTTATCCTACGTTTCTTTAGCATCACAATATGACATTTCAAACAAGTAATTATAATAATAAACGATCCATTAAATATCATTTTAAAACAATAACAGTTCAGGATCATGTGAATAATTCATTTCAAGCTAAGTTGATTAATAATCCAATTATATGTAAAAGTTCTGGGGACGTTATGTTAACGGTTTAGAATCTCTCTCAGATTTCAACACATAACATAATAACTACCACCAACTGTTTTAGACAACACTACAGCCGGTAGACTATCGCTTTGTAACAAGTACTGCAAGCTGTTTTAGAGGACACTAGTGTCAGTAGCCTGTAGACCATCGCATTTCTAATAAATTCCACTACCTGTTTTATATGACACCATACCCTGTAGACTATCGCATTTCTAATAAATACCGCAAAGTGTTTTAGACGACACTACAACAGGCAGACTCAAAAGCCGTTTCTGACATAAGGGTCGGCTGAAACTGAGCCACCTGGAAAATGCAGACCTGTTACCTTCTCGATATCAACTGATATTTCCTTACAACAACGACGGATGACAAGAGAGCGTGAAAAACTACGCACTTTCAACACCAAGGTACTTTTTTTTATCATAATACCTATAAAAATATGTTTGGGTTAATACCTAGAATAAATATGGTGGTAAATTCCTAACTACGTGAAAGATTACAGTATAAACTATATTTTGAAAACAGAAGTTTCACAGAAAGACGAAATTTATAACATTATCCATAAAAGCAAGCGAAAAATTATATATGTTTCATTCCCATCGCTGGAGCAGAATGAATCTCTAGCTTGTCACGAATATTTTTTTTTTCAGGTTTAGTTAGGCTTAGCAATTATTCGATTGTATTTGTGGTCTGACATATCATCAACAACAAAACAACTTTACCATTAAGGCTTTTGTATAAAATATTATTACCTACATACTAAAATAGAATTTTAAACAATGTGCGTTTCCTTACCTATTCAGTGATAAAAACGATGAATACGTACGACTGCAGTCTATCTAACTAGATGTCTCTGTGATACAGTAACGGTCGTTGTTATATTTATAATCTCGACCAAAGACTATGCACTCTCTGAAGGCCTATCAGAAATTACAACCTCATCAAACTATGCACTTCAAAAGATTATCTTCGCAGCTAATAAAAATAAAATCACAGTTTATCAATAGCTTTATGCAATCGTGATAATGGTGTTAGTGTAACAAAAAAACACACACATTCCCACACACTCAACCGACTACGCACATACACTAACCAGCAACTCGACGTCCCTACCGTCTATAATGTGCGCGGCGTATGAATATATGAGATGTCACATAGTAATTAAGCTTCTTTTTAAAAAACGTTCGTCGTCTGTATTATGATTGTAACGCCCCAAAGATAAAAAATTCTAAACAAAATTCCGCTTTACTGTTTAATAAATAATGCGTCTATTAACGTTCTCGCGATTAGTAACTAAGATTTATTTGAATGTTGCATTCCACTGTGCGGCAGGCTACACATTGGGTTGTGATGCGGCCAGTGAAACCACAGGTGTTCGGTGGCATGAGGGAGGGAGAACCGTGAAATCAGCAAACTGTGGGAAAACAGGTCGAATGGGAGGAGGGAAAGGGGAGAAGAAAAGTTAACCACCCTTGATGGCCGCAGGAAGGTAATGATTATTCAGTTTCCTTGCGGGTTTGTTGACACTGTGAAACACTTTTTTTCTAGAGGGCATTTCAATCCACATAGCGATAGCGTAATGAGGAACATCATCGAGCTTAATACTAGTAAAACGTGTAACAATACAACGTACTGCGAAGAAACATGCAATATTAGATAATTTGTGTTCATTCTTCAAAACACACAATATTAGATGATTTATGTTACCCCAACGAAACACACAATATTATATGGGTTCAGTTACTTCCATAAAACATACAATATTAGATTATTTGTGTTACTTCGACAAAACACAATACTGTATGATTTGTGTCACTTCGACAAAACATACAGTGTTATATGATTTGTGTTACTTCGACAAAACACAATACTGTATGAT